CTCTTCCTCCAGTGAGACTCATTCGCCCACTGTCTGCAGCTCTCTGCTAAAAGGTCAGATGCTTAGAAAGAACTTTCTTGATCCCCCTAGGCAAACACTACAACCTCCTGACACTTTGTCTCTTTTCCCACTGCCATGCCTCATTTTTCTTCAGCATCTTTACCTGCGTCCTCCTTCATGTAATACTTATTTTCAAAGCCAGGGAAAATATCTGTCTTGAGCACTAGGACGTCCTCATCTCCTGGAGGTTCCCAGGCATTCAGTGGATGTGTTGAATGAATATATTTATAGATCCATCGGGCTTAAGTAGTACCTATAAATGATAGATGTGAAATCTAGTACATAGAAATTCAGTTGCAAATTATTCTAAAAATAATAAATACATAGTTTTGCTGGCCAAATGAAAACAGTCTTGTTGACCCAAGGAAGACATGATGTGGAACAGGAACAGGAACAGGCAAGGCACAGGCGGTGAGCCATATGTAGCCCTTTCAGCCTTGTAACTATTTTCCATGTCAAGAACTCCCTGCAACCTGTCACTGACTTCCTACTGAATTAGCAGATATTTATTATTTTCAATTTGGAGGTATAATTCAGGTCCTATCCCTGTCTAAAAAGGATGCCACCTTTCTGCAGTCATTTCACTGTTTCCTTTCCTCATGAACTTCATTCATTCCTGCATTTTTTGCAGTTATCCATTAGAAAGCACACATATTTTTAAGAGAAGATAAAACTGTAATATTCACATTTTGCAATAATACTTCATAAAATTATCAGAAAAATGGTTCTTATTTAGCTTATTTCAAATTGAACTCTTCATGTTGTTTTTTGAAATTTGAATAGTTTATGGTGAGAGGTGTTCAACTATTTTGTGAAATCAAAAGACGTATTTGCATGAGGTTACATAATTTATTGATTCAAAGATTCAGTGGTGTGAGAACACCTATTTGATGTTGCTTTATCCATTGCAGAGCACTTTCCCACATAGTCTCTGTCATCCTGATCTTCCAACAATACCATTTCGTACCAATGCATATATTATTATCTCTGTTTTTATACTTGAGGAAACTGGGGATCAAAGAGTATGGTGAGTTTCCTTAGTTTATTCAGCTGGTTAGAGACAGAGCTGGGACAGAATTCATATATTCTTATTTCAGGTACTTTGGGCAAAAGTGACACAAGAAACAACAGTAAAATTATTACTTTAGATACAATTTCTATTTACCTCCAGCTATTGATCACCAACACCCCAAGGCCACCTTTCACGTGTAGAATTTGAGGCTGAGCCATGTTGTCACATTTCCTCATAGTAGTTGTACATGGAAATGAGAGCAAGGAATAAAGGTGTCAACATAGAAGCAGGGGATGTCTGGAGTCTTGTGCCCCTCATTCTCCAGTGGTCCCTTCTGCCCATCTCTCCGGGTCTCTAGAATCCATACCTCACCCCTGCCACAGGACTGAACCCTTTCCTCTCTCCCCTGACACCAACCCCACAGCCAAGTGGTCGGTAGTCATGCAGGTTCTGAGCTGTTTAGGCATCCATTCAGGTCACCTGTAGCTGTGGTGAAGAGGAGATGGCGCTGAGCTTCCATGACAGGACACGTGGTAGTTCTTATACAGCAAATGCCTCAGGCCTAGTCCTAGATCAACTTGAAAGCCTTTCCCAGTTTTTGGGGACTCTCCAAACCTATAGGAGCAGCAGCCTGCACAGAATATATGTAGGGAAATTCCAATACCCTTTATCCCTCCTGCCTCGTGAAATCTTCCTTAGCTTGTAAGCCCGGCACCCATGTTTCAGCTGTGAGTCCCCAAGCTCATTTCCAAACACACTGTATATGAAAAGTTGCCAGTGCCTGAGCTCTCTAGACTCCAATTTTGCCCTTTGAAGAGAAGAAACAGGAAGAGCAAAACCACATTATAAAATCAAAATATTAATGCTGGATGATGTAGGAATTGTTGCAGTAGTTGATCATGAAATGCCTCATAGACACAGGTATTATGATTACATGACATTGTGTCTATCATGGCAGGGAAAGCCATCAGGGCAGTGGGTCTGGTCTGTGGCTCTGCATCACCTTTTCTCTTTGGCTCATCCATGTTTAGGTTGCACTCTGCCACCCTGCAGGGTCTTGGTCAAGGCCAGGTTCTCAGAATTGTTCTCCACCAACATAATTGGCAAGAACATTTGGCCTTGACATCTATAACATTTCAGACAAAGTTGGATTTTCTCCAGCATTTTTTCTTGTTATAAGAACAGAGTTCCAGTCCCTAGCAAAGATGTAAATGCTCATGAATGGTGTCTTGAGTCTAGTGTTGACGCTTGAGATTCACTGTCAAGTAGACCACAATGATGAAAGAGACTTACTATTAGACAAAAGTATATTTATTTGAATCAGCAAATATATGTACCATATAATGACATTTTGTGGCAGATTCCCAGAAACGATTATGTGAGAATTTTTTCTTGAAATTGCCCCAAATAAAATAGGCCTTGTTAGTATGGATCCGACTTGTTCTTCCTTGAACAAGGGTGGTAGAACACATGAATTCCAGCTGTGACATCTTGAACCTTTGTTTCCTTGACTCTTTTCCTTTCCCTGCTTCTCTGTGTCTCTCTTACAACTGTGCCCACCCTTGAGCAATTGAAACTTTATCACAGTGGATAAAAGGAAGAGTAAATAATGTTCTTTTTAAAATGCCTTATCTGATTCAGAACTATGCATAATGCTTACATATGCAACTGTATTTTGCACAAGTGTTTACATAGAGAAACACTATGAGCTTATAGTTATACTCAGAGCACTCTAATACGTAAAAAAGTATAGTATCCTATTCAGATAGTTAATTTTGTTATTGTATTTGTATTAATGTCAGTATATCAAATGTCTGATACTTACCTAGGTAGACGTTACCTCACATTTTTCCTCCTGGCCTAGCACCCTTGGTCATTAATTTGACTAATGGTACTAATGAAAATTTCTGAATGCAAAGTGAATGCATGTAAAAAGAGGATATTTACATACACCCTAAGACCATGCCACCCCTTAAAAGTTCAGCAGATCCTCTCATCGGTCATCATTTGATGTTTTTTGAGGCTTAAAATAAAGGAGTAGTGATAAATTCACAACTCTAAAGGTACCAGTGATGGATAACTTTTACTTATCTCTACATTTGGATGTGAGGACTGTTTTTTTTTTTTGTTTTTGTTTCTTTTTAGTTTTACACTTTTAAATCCTTAGCAATATTTTCAAAATCTTCAGGAATAAGAATTGACAACAGGAACTCAAAACATATTGTACTTAAATATATTCCTGGAAAATATAAGCTTGAGATAATATTCAGAGTGATGTTGGCATTTGATAAATCAGATGCAATGAACCTAATTATGCAAAACAGTTATTTTGAGTCTATCATTCATCGGAGCGCTATCTAAATCAGAATTTATTTAATTACCAGGAAAGAGAAAGGTAAGGAACTTGTCTGCCCTATCCCTTTCCCTCCTCAAAATACTCAGTGGTTTTTATTAACGCTGAATTCATGGAGTTCTCACCACTGCCCCAATTATTCAGAAATACTGTTTTCTGTGTACTTAAATTTAAAGTAGTCCATGTTAAATGTACCAGTAAAACACTTTTCTCTTGGCAATTTCAAAACTTTACAATGGCTTTTTTTCTCAAATATTCTAGACAAGAATATTACAATTTTGGGTTTATTTGTTCCTGATGAGACAGATGTAACATTGAGCTTTTGAAGACTTTGGTTTAAAGTGGTCCCTGAGGAAGGCAGAATGGAAGTAGAGCTGTTCACAGACATGGCCAAGGCGAAGGAATCCCAGCACCCCAGAGTGTTAGGCTGGAACGGAGAGGCGAAACTCAGGCTGCTGAAAGGCAGTTGCCAGTTAAATCCCAATGTGCCATGTGGGGATTAGTTGCAGGGTGTAGCTGAAGGCTCATTCCTGAAATCAGCCATGGTCTCCTTTGGTTCTTGTCTGTGTCCTGTATTCACGATGGAAGATGCCACCTCTCCTTGATGCCCCAAGGCCATCTTATTGCCCCAGTGCAAATGATTTCCCTGACGTTTCTGCTCCAGTGGTTCTGACTGTGCCTCAGATAAAATACTGGCTCTCAGTCAAGGTCCTCTTTCCTGTCTGTCCAGCCGGCCTCTTCGGCCTCATGAAAGTCTGTTTCCTGATGTGCAGAGGCTTCCCTTCTTCACATTCTCACGGTTCTCTGATCCAGAGCATTGCCTCACATCAACACCTCTTCTCATACCATGCAAAGAAGTGACACAAAAAGGATTTATAAATACTACAAAGCAAAGTGATGTGTAGCCCCAATTTATACATCAAACCAGTTAATGACAATCATTCCTGCCTTTTTTCAGAGGGAGGCAGACTAAATGTAAATGCTTCAATGTAGAGGGTCAGAGTAAAGGAAAATATAACTTGAAAACCTTTTTCTTTAGCATCTGCCTCTTTCAGGGATGTAGGCCATTGTAAGTTCAAACATTTTGGTTCATCCATTTCCCAGGGAAAAGCTGCTGATGTGAACAAAGTCTAGTTTACTTTTTAGGAACAACATCAAGATGGCTTTGCCGTTGTAGCTCATCATTTAAAATGATTTCTATTGTGTAATTTAAGGTGCAAGGACTATGGAATAATATGAGATTTTTAGGATTGACTGCCTACCTGACTCCTTTAGTGAAGAACCTAGCTACATCCATTACGTTTTGAGAAAAGACATATCACTGGTCTTGTTCCGTGTGGGTTTATCTCAGAAACATTATTATTCTTAGAGTGAGATCATGTTTGGTAGCAAAGCCAGCCAGCTGGGTGATGCCGATAAGCTGATTAGACTGACATAGTGCTGCCATTTCGTGTTACTCATTTGGCTTCCTGAGGATTTCAACAATTTTGTCCCCAAAATTTGAATGTCTTTGATTAAACAAGTTCTGTCTGGAGATTGGTTGAGCCTTGACATCCCTCTGTTAATTTATTTCAGCTGGGTCCCGAGCTTCATACAGCAGCCAGCATGGGCACCTGGGCCCAGAGTTGCGGGCCCTGCAGTCCCCAGAACATCACATAGATCCCATCTATGAAGACCGCGTCTATCAGAAGCCCCCTATGAGGAGTCTCAGCCAGAGCCAGGGGGACCCTCTGCCGCCAGCACACACCGGCACCTACCGCACGAGCACAGGTGTGTATTCAGGACCCCAGTGGGTGGCCTGTCCACAGTGGGTGGGCTCTGTGTGGAAACTCAAATAACACTCCCAAATGAAAGGTGTGCGTCTGTGTGTCCACTGTCCTCACAAGCACTGTGACCTGCTTCTATCAACGTCTGTAATGATAATGGTAGAAACAGAATATGACTTGAATTCAGGCTACCTTGGTATAACCTGAATGAAAGGAGGCCAATGGGGATTGCAAGCTCATTTTCCCAAAGAGAAAAATGAAAAGAAGCAATACTAATATTTGACACATGATTATTCACTTATTTAATGAATGTAAGTACTCCAAGGAACTAGTCATTCATAGGACATGAAAGACACATGCTTGATGATGGTAAGTATTTTTTTAATGATATTGTCTACATATTTGGCAAGCATGGAACAAAAACATATTTACTAAAAAGGTAGCATATTTTGAAAGGCAGACCATTTATTTCATATACACTAATAGACTGAATCACAAATTTATTGTGTGAAGGTTGGATGGTGTCAATTGCAAATGGTTCGATCAATTATATAGCTCTCCTGGATTCACTATATATTTTCAGTAGACTACAACCACAGGTCACATGACAGAACGCAAGTGTTTTCCGGTATAGTGAGCCATTTGCAAGATAATTTGTCAAATGTCATAATTAGATTGCTAGAGAACACTTATCTTAACTATAAAATCGATATAATTGAAAACATTTGAGAATTGCATTTATTATCAAGCTGCACATGGCTAAGTAAACTGGAACGACTGTGTTGTTGGTCTGCAGACAGCATAGCTCTCTCCTTCCTTCCTAATGATAAGTGTGAGCACCAGCAGGGACTGAGGCTGGCAGAGCTGGCTCTCTGCGTCAGAACCTGGCACACAGATCTCTACATCCTCAGACTATTGGAATTTCCAGTGACCACTAAGTAGAGCATAGCAATTTTCTTAAACTACATTATGATGCTAAATTACATGTTTTGAAGCCAAGGCAAGCTAAGCTGCTTTTATAGTTGATTATTGATATTTACATTTCAATATTTCACTGAATCATAGGGAGAAAGTCACAAAAGACTCTTCATTTATTTTTGACATCATAAATACCACCCAATATTAATAATACATATCTTGGTCTTGATGAAAAAGAATGCCCATTTTCCCTTCTGTCAGAATTGTGTTCCCCTTCAGCCTGTTAGATCCACTCCTGTCTGGAGTTGGGCTACTTTAGCATGTAGTTTTTGCATATTATTAAGTAAGGTAATTTAATTTTTATGCACATCTTAGAAGAAGATAACAACCACAGTGACATTCGATATCTAATTTGAATAAAAACTGACAACAAAAGAGATTATGTTGACTCCCTGTTCCATATGCATGTGCTCTTAGAATTATCCCTTATTAATAAACTTCCAGGAACTTAATGAAAAATTAGCTACAATAAGAAAAACACCTTAATTCATCTATATCACATTAAACAAAGGGAAGATATCCACACTTAAAAAAAAAATACCCTACTGTGACAGTGTTTTCTCTGTGTCAGAGTCAGCAAACAATGGCCCTTGGGCCAACTGTAGCTCCCCATCTGTTTCAGTAGTGCCCAGGACCTAAGAGTGATGACCGCATTTTTAAATGGTTGGGGAAGAAAATCAAAAGACGATTAATGGTCTGTAATATGTGAAAATTATATGAAATTCAAACCTCTCCATAAATAAAGTTATTGGGATGCAGCCATACCAATTCGCTTATATATCATCCATGGTGGCTTAGGCCCTGCAGGGGCAGAGTGGAGTGCCCATGGCAGAGACCATATGGTGGGCAGAACCAAGAATATTTGCTGTCTGGCCCTTGACAGGAAAAAATTGCTGTCCCCTGCTCCAAGCCTTCAATGGAGAGCTATCCAGAATGAACAAGTGTTTTTCCCTCCCACCTAATGAGGAAGGCAACAGTCTCTTCTAACTGCTTCAGAGGTGAAACCCGTTTGGTGGGGGCTTTTCTTAGCAATAGCTGTGGCAGAGATGTGCTAAGGTTGTGACATTCAGATGTCCAAGACCCCAACCCAGCCTGCACCTTTGAACTTAAAGCAATTTTGAGAAAACATGCAGATTGACATAATACTATGGAAATTCCCAGAGGTTCTTGGATGACCTCTTAGGACCACAGGTGGAGGAGGAGAAGTTATCTCTCTCCAGCTCCGAATCATAAGGCCACAAACTTTCTCTTCTCTGCACCCACCAAGGTTACCCCTATGTCTATACTTAATTCATATAATTTTGTGTCTTCGCATTTTCACAACCACAGAAACTGCATCACGATTGCCTATAGGAGAAAAAATGCCTTTAATATGTGTCTATGTCTTTTTATTTAGATATCAAAGACATATATAACATTATTAAATTCTGTCTAGTATAACACACATAAAAATGGAGATTGCAAAGCAGTAAATATTAAAAATAGTTTTCCGATAGCCATAAAAAACATTCTAAGTTTGCCTTCCCCATATCTGTGGGGGGTCATCTGTGTTGTACATATCCCACCCTGGAGATCATTGGTACAGACCTGTAAGAGACTTGAAGGCCTAAAGCAGACACCCTAATTCCTTGAAAGAAAAGGATGGGTTCTTATGAGGCCTGCCAGACTTAAAGTGTTCAGGGCCTCTGCCTTTCAGCTCAGATGGGTGGCCGAGGGGACTGGAGCAACTGGTCTTATCTTTCTGCCCTTAAGAATGGGCCAGCAGCTGGAGGTCTTTCAGTATAATTCATAAAGCATTTCCAGATAATACTGCAAGAGAAGTGGGGCAGGAAGATTGGAGGCCAACTGCTTCCCTTCAAGGAGTCAACACTTGGGAAGGAAGAAAAGTATACATGCTTCCACAATTAGGGAATTATTAGATGGTGTCATTGAAGCAAGATTGTGAGGCTGGACAAACAATAGCAAGATGAAGAAGAAAGGTCTAGCGGGGGGATGGAAAAAGATGGTGGTAGGTGGAGCCTGAAAGTAAAAGCTAACTGAGAAATCCCCTTTGGTGAGGAAGCATGTAGCTTATGGCTGCCTCCAGGGACTGTGCTAAGTGCTTTGGGTATTTTACCAACCCCAGAACAATCCTTGCAAGGAGATGCTGTTATGATGCTCAATGCTTGCTTTATGGATCAGAAAACTGAGGCACAGAGATGTTGAGTAATCTGCCCAAGGTCACACAGGTTGTGTGGAAACAGCCTTTAAACCTTCACACAGGCTGGGCATGGTGGCTCACACCTATCATTTCAACATTTTGGGAGGCCAAGACGAGAGAATCACTTGAGTCTAGGAGTTCAAGACCAGCCTGGGCAACATAATAAACTCCATCTCTATTAAAAATAAATAGGCCTGGCACAGTGGCTCATTCCTGTAATCCCAGCACTTTGGGAGGCCAAGGCAGGTGGATCACTTGAGGTCAGGAGTTCTAGACCAGTTTGGCCAACATGGTGAAACCCCATCTCTACTAAAAATACAAAAATTAGCTGGGCATGGTGGCAGGTGCCTGTAATCTCAGCTACTTTGGAGGCTGAGGCAGGAGAATCAGTGGAACCCCAGAAGTGAAGGTTGCAGTGAGCCAACATGGTGCCAGTGCACTCCAGCCTGGGAGACAAGAGCGAAACTCTGTCTCAATAAACAAACAAACAAACAAACTTTCATACTTAGGCAGTCTTACCCTAGATCCTGGGCTTAGTTGACTGCATTTGTAAAAATTATCATTTAAAAACAAAATAGACATTTATTTTCATCTGTGGAGCTTAATGGCCTTCCATATCCTGTTAAATAATATCTGTTAAAGATGCTCTGTGTGCTAGATGCACTGGCAGATTCAACGAGGCTTCAAATCTCCTTGTCCTTAAGCATGTTCGATTTTGTTTCAGAGAAAGACATAACCATACGAAACATTAACTGGTAATGGAAGGTAACATCGTACAGGCTACATGCATATTCTAAAGAAAATCGAAAACATTGAAGTGTTCATAAAAACACTCAACAATCCGGGCACGATGGCTGACGCCTGTAATCCCAGCACTTTGGGAGGCTGAGGCGGGTGGATCACGAGGTCAAAAGATCGAGACCATCCTGGTCAACATGGTGAAACCCCGTCTCTACTAAAAATACAAAAAATTAGCTGGGCATGGTGGCGCGTGTCTGTAATCCCTGCTCATGAGGCTGAGGCAGGAGAATTGCCTGCACCCAGGAGGCAGAGGTTGCAGTGAGCCGAGACCGCGCCATTGCACTCCAGCCTGGGTAACAAGAGCGAAACTCCGTCTCAAAAAAAAAAAAAAAAAACACACACACACACACACTCAACAATGCAATACTAAACAATACAATAGTGTTTTATCTTTGCTGGAAAAATATGACTCAAGATTGTGCTATATACAAAATGAAGGATCGAGTTGCCCCCGCCCCCGCACTCATGTCCCTGGTAACATGGCCTTCCTCTCTCTTGTGGGAGCAAATGGGGGCATGGAAAGGGGTGGATGTGGATGGAATCACACCAAGGGAAGATATGAGTGGAATCACTCCTCATTCAGTGCCCCAGCTGTACTCTCTACCAGCTCAGGCTCGTGGGCATGACTCTGGCTCTGGTGGCCACTCTACTCTCTGTCCTGCTCTGCCTCATGCTGCCCTCACTCCTAGGCTTTCCATACTCCAGACACCACTGAAACCATCCTGAGAAAGAGACCATCCTAGGGCTGAGAGATAGTGGGGGAGATAACTGCAGAGAAGACCAGCAAAGAACTTTAGACACTGAAGACAAGACATTTTAGATCCCCCAACTTTCCCACCAAAGGGAATTTCTCAGTTAGCTTCTCCCCATAGGCTCCACCTACCACCATCTCTTCCCATCTTTCCTCTAGAACTTTCTTCTTCATCACTCCTTTTTCTTAGCTGTCATAATTAATCCATCCATGCCTGTTACTTTATTATGAAGACGAATTTAAATCTCAGATACCAGCTCAGATGAGGACCACT